TGCACAAGACTAGTCACAAGTAACAGGGTGAACAATGCCAAAGAAATGCTTTTGTTGCAGTTCATTTGAATAGCTTGTGGCTTGAATTCAGACTGGAGGTCTTGTGCTGGCCTTGAGTGGTCTTGTGAAGGTCTTCAGTGGTCTCGACTACAACACTGCCAATGTGACTTCAAAAGTAAAAATGCTTTCAAGTCTTGACCACTCCAAAAAGCTAATTTGAATATGTCTTCAGGAGGGCAAGTACCCCTCTTCCCCCGCTGGATATGCCAAGTAATTAGTACATTCAGATAAAGTGGTGGAAAAATGAGAGAAAAAATGATAAAATGAAGTTAATTCTTGTTTCCTGTTATACACACACAATTCAAAACTTCTGTTTTCTCGGGTCATTCGGAGATGTGGTGGAAAGTGGGGAATATGACTTATCTGGTTGCCATGGTGTTTTGACGTGTTATTTCCATCAGTGACGATCTGACGACACTAAAAATTTTTTTTCTTCCATGGCAGATGAATATTGAGACTATTTCCATCCCTCATATCTTCACAAGTCTGTTTTCTATGCTCTGTGTTGCTATGGAATTTGATGTGGGAGACATCAACAAATTTGCTGTCAAGTTGGGTAAGCCAACCTTTAATTCTGAGGACATTTCATTCTGAGGACATTTCATTCTGAAGACAACGTCACAAGCCATGGATTTTCAATGATACTCCAATCCTTTAAAATGCCCAAAGCCTTGTGTTGTACATTAAGTTGGCTGTATTTTTGTCCAGTGTCATCAAAAAATGTTTGTACAAGGAATGAGGCTGTAGAGAAGTACCATACATAAGAGACATTAGCTGATACAACTGTTCAAAAATTTCCCTCTGTGGTGTTGTAGAATGGACCTAGGTCTAAATTCAACAATTGGATCACGTCTTAACTTGCTGGTAGAGAACAGGGGATCTATGCATTACTGAATATGACGTTAAAGAGCACTTTGGGATTACATGGCTTTGAAAGGAGTTTACTTACAGAGATTTTTTTCTTACAGTTTCATCATTCTTCATACAACTTGCCATAACGATCAGGAACAAGTTCCCAACACAAGACAGGTATTTGGGAGTCAACTGTTGTTTAAGTACAGTATATGTTGCACATTTTTCGCACCCATCAAGTTTTTAATCATGACCCAGCACCCTTATTTATAGAATGTTGAAATGATCTTTGTCAGCTTCTTTTGAAGGTTAAGTTTGCAATGACCAGTCATAATTTGTTTTGTCATCATTCAAGGAGATGCCTGAAATGTGTCAGGCAGTAGAGTGGATCCGACCTATATCTCTGTCCATTTGTTTAATTCAAGGTGCTAAAAACTAAAGACTGAGAAATACTAGGAGGCACAAGCCTACAGTCCTGGCCAGGTCTTGTCGGGTCCCCACCCCACGCCCCGTCCAGTGTTGGGTCTTATTGCATGGTCTGCACTCCGGCTTGAGATGACAACATTGATCAGGAGAGCAAGGGATTGGGGAAAGTAATGGCTATTGACACGTGTCCCGACGATTTTGGCTGGGATTACATTGTATTTTGCTCATACATCTAATTAAAGTTTTTTAATGCCCACTTCCTGTTACAACTGCTATTGGATGGCAACAGAGTTGACTAAGCAACATAGTTAAAGTTCTCAACAACTTTGTTCAGGCTACTTCAAGATGCAATCAACTGTTTCTTGGTTGGGCTGTGCACCTCCATTCAAGATCCTAGGTTTGCCTTGGAGGAGAAGCAAGAGCTGAGAGATACGCTACAGAAAGCCCTACCGCACATTCACGGTATTAGCCTGTCAATTTCTTGGACACAATTGCTATCTGTCAGAAAAGGCTTCATTGGATTTATTTATAATGACAGTTGTGTTATTGACACTCTCATGCTGTGGTTGCAGTGGTGTAGCCGGGGGGGGGGGGCTCCACAATTCCTGGTACCTCCCAGGTGCCCCCCCCAAGAAAAAATACAGATGAATGGATATGGGAAAAGGCTAACAAAAACTTGCCCCAATAAAACACACCACTGAAAGGTGGTGCCCCCATAAGATGCTGGTGTCCCCTTTGTGCCTCCCCCTACCACTTGTAAAATCCTAGCTACACCACTGTGGTTGAAGCTTGGTCTGATCTAGAAATGGCTAGGTGAGAGACTCACACTTTCATCACCGTCTCCCCTCAAAGACTGTAGTATGTTGACACTTTTCCCTGTCGAAGGTCTCCAGCCTATGGCAGGAAAATTGGGAATGATAAATGTTGGAGGTATTAAAAACAGTCAACAGAGCTGTCACTTAGGTTAGAGAATTGTTCCTGGTCACTTGCAGCATAAATCTTGAAACTGTGATGAAATATGTACATTTTGGTTCAATTCAGGAAGTGCTGATGAGATGCTTCCTTTGTTGCATGAGGTTCCCCCATCTGCTAGTAGCTCATCCAGTAGCTTGTTGGGTCAAGATGATGTAGATAGCGCCCTTCACATCAAGCAACAGGCTTGCCTGGCCTTGCTCTACTATGCCTTCCTCTATCATGACAAGTATGGATCCTTTGACCTCCCCTCCAACTGTGTGTTCACACTGGTGCATTAGGAGGTAACAAAGCACCCTCTCTGTGGTCATATTCCAAGCCCACATCCAAAGATAGTTTCGTTGCCCTTCCTTGGTTATACCTGTCTCTCTCCCCACCTCTCAGCTCTGCCTTGACTGTAAAGAAATTAATCAGTTTCACAGTCCACAGTGCTAAAAACACTGACATGTACATCATCGTTTCCTCCAGACATAACAAGGCAACGCCCACCGCTGTGTCTTTTTGTTTCTATCAGTGCTATTTTTCTGTCCGTTATCTGTGGTAGTAAATCGCCCTTGTGACCCTAAAAAGACTGCATCGTTTTATCTGGTTGAGGCCCATAATCTCCACTTGAAGTGATGTTTCTCTGTGCAGATTAGCACCAGAGAGTGCGGTCAGTGAGGCCGTCGTTTCTTTTCTCACCAATCATTCCAATCTGAAGAGACTACCCACGAGCACAGCAAAGCATCTCCTTTTGCTGTTGGCGATGTGTCATGGCAAGGGGTGGGACCAACCCATGCACTCAGGTAACCTGGGGGAAAGTAATTTAGCAGACAGTTTTCACCGAAGAAAATTTGTCATGTGCCCGACAGAAGGGCGTAAGCGCTTAGGCCCTTTTGCCGGGAAGCATGATCACTGCCAAAAAAGAATTTTCCTAGCAAAAGGACGAAAGTAGGCAACTATTGTATTTTAATGAAACATGAAGATTTCTTGGCAAAAAGGAAAAAAAAATGCCCAAGTCCTTTAATAAGTTGTTCAAAGGTTGCTTTTTGTACAGCCCAGGTTGATTTTGTAGTGAATTATATCCATTTTTACTAAATAAAGAGAATGTATTTCTTACGCCCTTTTGCCTGGAACATTTTTTCTGCTGTGATCATGCTTCCCAGCGAAAGGGCCTATGTGTGCTAAATGCCCTTCTGCCAGGCACCCGACGAATTTAGTACAAATTTAGCACAAATATCCTCCAAAGGTTATCAAGTGCTTTTATGTTGAGGGAAGGGTATGTAGAATGTACACGATCTTGTGAATAAAGAGACCCCTCTTAAAAATCGGCTGAAGATGTGTTTCCATAGATTCCAAAGATGATTTCTTTTGTTGATATTTCTGATTTCTGTTATTCCCTAATTTAGACCACCTGATACCTTTAATTCCCGAATCAAGCAGCCGTTGTATCTAGTAATGACACGACTTGTTGGTGTAAGCGCGCATTGTTTTTATTCTTCTCAACAGGTGTGCTGTCTTTCTTAAAAGTGTTACAAGAACGAGACATAACAAGAGTTTACACCCATCATCCATCCATTTTAAACTGGTGCTTCGGACCTGCTAGCCCACCATCTCAGTTTGCACAAGGAATCGTAAGTAAAACGTGACAAAACACGGAAGATACATCAAGCAGTATGTTGGACACTCTTGCATTTGACTTTTCATAGAAACCTTTCTCTTGAAGATTAAAGCATATTAATTTGTTTTATACTTCCGTAGTCAATACCAATTTGGTATTTTTAGATAATGTTTATCAATCTAACAGATTGAGCAGTGGCTACTGTGCAGTAGATCTGGTAACAAGGCAGAAGCTACAGAAGCTTGGCAACAGGGGGGTGAAGGAGACATTCTATCTAACCTGCTAAGGAGCAATCCTACCTGCTTAGACATGTTACTGGTAGGTAACTCAAATTTAACCATTTGTCCTTTGAAAAGAATCTGGTTTCGGTTTGAACTTTTTCATCAGATAAAACATTCCTTAGTAGCTTGGTTCTATTCAAGTCTGCATGATTTTGAAGATCATATATGTTGGAAATGAATTTGTAAGGAGTTCAGTTTCAATATATTTTAGAATTTTGCATGGGAAATTTCTAAGAAAATGGGAAACATTAAACTTTGGAGGAAAGACCTAAAGTACGTGAACATCTTGAGAAATTTTAAGCAATAATTTGACCGTCTTTGCATCGGCCTCAAAAGTTGACAAAATTTTAGGAGCTGAAAGCTACCAAGCCCTTCCCTAAGTGCCACTCCCCCCCTCCCCCGTAGTCTGTAAACTTCCCATCTGGGCATCTACAGTCAGTTGCTTATCAAGGGTAAATCATCTGCGGGGGCGGGGGGGATATTTTCAAGGGGGAACTAAAAGCAAATAAACTGCTGCTTGTACATAGGTTGTGTGCATTTGAAACTTTCAAAAGGGGGACATGGACTTGTTGCTAGGGGGATCACATGTCCCACTGTGTCTCTCTTCCAGTGATTACACCACAGTAATCTGGTGCCAGAGTCCAGCACTTCAATTTTCCACAGATCTAATCTGGTTTTTCTCTGACCCAGTCACAATAATGCACATTTTTGCAGGACATCATGAGCAGTGGGGGCAACGGGCTTGTCCAGGAAGCTCTAGCAGTCTTGGAGAGTGTCTTCAATGGTGCAGCATCCTCTGCCAGTGATGAAGAATCAACTCAGAGCCTGTTGGTGGCCTTGAGGAAGAGACTACCAGATGTTGTGCAGAGAATCTTTATGTCAGAGGAGGAGGCACCATTGGGTCAGTTAGACTGGTTACAAGTTGCTTATTATAGATACGGCAGGTGTTGTTCTGGACCCAAAAATCTTGAGGGAAAAATCGACCCTCCATATTAAGAACTGTTTTCTCACTTTTTGAGATGTCAGGTTGGTGTAATGGCTCTTTCCTTGCTTTTCACAACCTGGGTTCCAATCCCACCCAGGTCAGCATGTGCATTGGGTATTCAGTCCCGGCCTGATTCTGTGGGTTTTTCCGTGGAATTTTCATCCTGGGTTTTCCTCCCACCTCTAAAACTGAACATTTCTTCATTATCACATCATCTTATAATTGGCACCAAGTGCACTGTGAGACAAACAGATATAATAAATTAATAGATACAAAACCAGGGAGAAATAGAGATCCAATTTCTGTGGAAGTGTGCTTGGTAGGTTTTTATATAGACTGCAAAGAACCTAAATGACGCTGTGCCAAAAGCTGCATCGGGGGAAACGGTATCATTTGAAGATGAACCATCAGTAGATGGGATTGAATAGAAAACTGGTTAGATTCACTTTCTTTCTTGTGAGTGTCAGAGGGGATGAGGTAACAGTTTTAATGTAAAGATTTATGCAAAGAGCTCTTTCATTCAACCCAAAGAAAGATAAACTTGAAAGTATGTTTTCATGTTTCAATCAGTTCAGCTTGTTGTAAATGATGGCCTATTTGTATGTTGGACTCCTTACAATCTGATCTCAGATGTACACATTCTTGCATTACTGAGGCTGAGATGTACTCTCCTAGAGAGATGCCCTCGGACTGAGCTGGATCCGACTGATATCAAACTGATGTATCACGGTAAAACCTTTTGAAATTAAACTGTTGGTCTTTCTTGTGCAACTAATCTGGTTGTACTTCTGATGTAAAAAATTCAAATATGGAACTACAATCTCTTCACAATTTACATTCCTATAGGAAGTAGTAACTTGCTCTCAAACCATTGTTTTAATTGCTCTGATTTTTCATAGTAATCAACCTGATCAGCAAGTCTACCAATAGCAACCCTAACATCTTACAGGTCTCTCTCAACTACCTGACATGCCTGCTCATCCAGACGTCAACTCAGGAGGAAACAAGAGGTCAGTGTTGTAGTCAGGACCACTGAAGACCTTCACAAGACCACACAGGACCAGCACAAGACCAACACAAGACCTCCAGTCCGAATTCAAGCCACAAGCTACTCAAATGAACTGCAACAAAAGCATTCCTTTGTCATTGTTCACCCTGTTACTTGTGTCTGGTCTTGTGATGGTCTTGTGTCTGGTCTTGTGCATGGTCTTTGTGTCTGGTCTTGTGCATGGTCTTGTGTCTGGTCTTGTGATGGTCTCGACTACAGCACCGCAAGAGGTACCTTACACTTGAGGAGCAGTTTGAGAAGGACTGTTTAGTAGTCAGCCACCACCACTTGTTTGATCCTCCACTGATGAAGGGCATTGAACTCAAGTTTTCAAATCAGTGAAATCTTCAAGTCCAAGAAATTCTTTCAGGTTTTTGATACAATGTATCCATAGCAAAATTTGACAAATTGAAACTATTCCAAAATCAAAAGCTCTAACTTTGTTATAACTGTCGTAAAAAGACGTGTTATGCCTAAAACCTTTTTCTAGTCTGACTGACAGTCGGTTTGAATCTAGAGATGCCCTACTCTTCAAACTCGTCATCAATTTCCGCAAGGTCTTCTATTCTCTGCCAGTTCTTCAAATCTCACATACTCATGAGTGCTCTTAACAGTGATTTTCTTTGTCATTTTTCAACTTTGTTCTCATCTTCTCTAGTTGTTTCCATCCTCTTGTCCAACACGTCTATCCTTCAGCTCTTAGAGAGCTTAGTGTCCTCTGACAGTCCCTCCCAACTACACACGCAGCAGTGCTCTAGTCTCAGCCTTGTGACTCAGATTATCACTGGCCAAGCCAAATTTAATATCAGGGTAAGCCGAACTGAAATTCCATTGAAGTCTTTGGAATGGAAATGATGACCCCAGATTTTTTTTCATCTTTGAATATAAAATAAATGATTGATGATAGTTCTCATGCAAAACATTCTAGTGAAGCACTTTGCTTTAGGACGTCTTTTAATTTAGCGAGTTCCTTTCTCTGAAGAAGAGTGTTAATCTTTTTGGGTAAACCAAGATTTCGTTTTCCCACCTGTTTTGCAGGTTTCACATACCATGACATTAGAACTTAGATTTGCGATGGACTTAATGCGCCAAAACAAAGACCGTCTTAGAAAAGGTATTTTTGTATTTGAGAGTGAGTTTCTTTGAAATAAATCTTTGATATCAAGACACAGAACATTTCACCTCAGACGTGCTCAACTGTGACAGCAGATCTGGGCTGAATTTCATGGCACTGCTTACCACAGAATTCTGCGCTTACGACCTCCATTCTGCGCTAACCTCCCTAGCAGAAAAACTGTGCACTAACCCTTTAAGCACAGAATTCTTAGTTATGGGATGTATGCATGTGCACAAGCCAAAATTCCTTGCCAACCCGTGATATACGTTCGCCGTAAGCACAGAATTTTCTGGTAAGCGTCAATTTTTTGCTTGCGGTAAGCAGCACCGTGAAGTTGGGCCATGCTTTATTAATGAAGTAGACCTCCCATTTTCAACAGGTTGTTTTAAGTGGGCAAAATGTGAATAGCAACATCAAAGTTAGATACTTTATGAGATGGGATATATCTGGCAGGAACGTAGTGACATCTAGGCTAACAACTTCAACCTTTTAGTGTATTTTTCCAAGTGATGACTTCCAAAATAATCTGTCAGCAACCACTTTTAGCCAAGGTCCGCCCAGCCTAAAGAGTTTATAGACCTTCCTGATTCGTTGAAGCCCCTGTAAGGTCTGATGACATATCACCAGAGTTGTTCATGTTTAGAATTTCTTCAAAGTTTTCTGAACTGATCACTTTCTACCTATTTCCGTCAGTATGTGGACTACAGCTCTGGACAGCTTTATTTAACGCCAAGTTTGAGTCACCTGTGCTAAGAATAACCTGCAAATCGGCACTGAGGACTCTACGTGAAGATGAGGACATAGGACTGGACATCCAGGCTAGGGATCTCAAGAGTGTCTATGTCTGGCTACAGAATAGCATAGTACAGGTATAGACAAGTTATAGGAAATGGCTTCTAGGCCAAGGAATTCAAAGGGTGTTTACGTCCGTCCAGCTGCAGCGTGGCATAATACCAGTACAAACCAGTTATTGAATGGACTTCTAAACTAGGGATCTCAAGAGTGTCTTTATCTGGCTAGGGATAGCATAGTACAGGTAAAGACAAGTTATAGGAATTGGCTTCTAGGCCAGGGAATTTAAAGGGTGTTTACGTCCGGCTACAGCGGAATGGGTTCCTAGGACAGGGAACATAACAATGTCTACACAGAAAAGCATAATACAGGTAGATTGTTTTCTGAGTAGGCTTCTAAGACAGGGATCCCAAGAGTATACATGTACAGTATAACCTATATATGTCTGGCTACAGTACCGTAGTTGATGACCTGCCATTGGAATGGGTTCCTAGGACAGGGAACATAAAAAAGTTTACATAGAAAAGCATAATACAGTTAGACTGGTTTCTGAGTAGGCTTCTAAGACAGGGATCCCAAGAGTATACATGTACAGTATATATAACCTATATGTCTGGCTACAGAATAGCATAGTGCAGGTATTGACCTCTTTACAGTAATGTGCTTGTAGGGCTAAGCATAATTTGCTCTTTGCATGCTGCCGCCTTAGGCATGCAGAGCCTCAATCTCGATCTTCGCTCAAGCCAGTTTGGTGATTCCCGCGTATGTTGCTCAGTAATCCTATGCGTTCTGTGTTAGCTCTTATACCATGCGATTGGACAATATTTGAAAAGCTGCGTTGACGCGATTCTACAAGCTGTCCAAATCAAGGCTCTGCGTGGCTACAGGGGCAGCATGCAAAGAGAGAATAGTCAGTGTGTATGTCCAGCAGCAGAGTAGCATGGTAGAGGTAGAGACCAGTTAGACCTCTGAGCTAAGGAAGACCGTTTGTGGCTGGCTGTAGAACTGCCGAGTACAAATATAGACCAGTTACAAGAGTAAGCTTTCAGCATAGGGATGTATAGAGTCATGTAAGGACCAGGCTAGAAGTACAACACCCTCTTTGGAAGGTGAGGGGAATATGTAACCACTTATCTTGAATCCTTGAAATTCTGTTGCATTGTAAGAAAAAAAAAACATTGGTTGCATATTCAGGACATATGTTCATTTATGACGCACCAACAATTACTACCTACTAAAATCAGAATTTTTCTCCTGTTTTTATCCCTCGAAGGGCAACCCTCTGCTCTGCCAAGCAGCCGTGAGTTGTATGAGAAGCTTAATTGCTTACCTCCTTGGGAGAAGCCAAACACTTGGTGAGTCCATCATGCACCTAGTTCTCCAGGATGCCTCTTCTAAAACTGTCATATCTCTAAAAGTCATGCCTTCTGGCATTTTGGTGGAGCTTAACTAAGACTGAGTGAAACATCGGCGTGCAACTTTTTTAAAAAGAGCCGAAGACACTACAAATGTAGATTATATGACCTTCAGTATGCCTGTAATACTTGCAGACGTCATTTTACTTAAAACCAATTCCAACAGAAAAGCATGTAAGCCTGTACATATGACTGATAATTACAGAGAGATTGTAGAGTCAGATAAAGTCTTACATAAACAAGTACTACTCTTGTTTGCTACGTCACAGCTCATCACCTCCTTGCCCAGCCCTGGAACCACCGGCTCATCAATTACTGTCTGGAATCCAACCTGGACTCTAACCACGTCCCAACCTATGTCATCCAGCTTATAACAATGGTAATGTGTTAGCTCTGTCACTGTCATTTGAATCTTTGAGACACAGATCAAAGCATTTCGAAATGAGCTTGATTCAGGACTGGTTGACTGTTCGGGAACCATTCTTGAGTTGTAATGTTCAAGAAATTTGTTTTAGGGGACCCATCTTATTGGTGGATAACATGGCAAATTGGAAACAATAACAAGGAGACGGTTTTGGCAAGCAATTTCTGAAAAACTTTTTGCAAAAAGTTTTGCATGATATAGTCCCTTGCTGTGATGGAACTGATATCCAAGTGGGTTTTGATCGTCAGAGAAGACCCTCCTTGCAAAAAAACGGAATTGTGCCAAAATAGTTATTGCTTTTCTGGCTGAACCTCTCAGACCACAATAGAGTATTTTTTCTCATTCTTCCCTCGACCCCTTTTCATCCAGTGCAGCAAGCACCCTAGGTAATAACTCTATGGATCATATCAGATTTTGGTTCTGTTTCCCATTTACTGCAGTAACCAGTCATTCCTTGTTCTGGTGTATCTCGTTCAATGCCTTTTTACAGTTTTTACAGCATGGCAAGAGAGAGAAGATGGTGAGTATCCAGCATCTACAAGGCATGACTGACTATCTGAAATCATTGGACATATCTCAGTGTATGAACCAACAGGCTGTATTGGATGCCTTATTGATGGTACAACAGGTAATTACAGATTCATATACAAGACAGATTCCAATTTATAACTTCTTGAAGTTAATAATGTGTAAAATCCTTTTATTCCCTGTCTTTGTTAAAAGCTTTCTCTTTGTAGTTCCTTGCTTTCTTGGGTGTTCTGTGGTCATCAGTATGTATTCTATTAGGCGTGATGGTTTGTCTTTGAGTGTGCTTTTGAGATGCCCTCTGAAAGAAAATTGGCACCCCCAATCCCTGCAACCCTCATTGCCACATCTGATCCAAAACATTGGCTGTCTTCTTATTAAGAATCATACTTTTCATCTGCCCTCTAATCAGCCAAGAATCATGAAATAACTCTCCCCATGTCCTTTCTGAACCAAACGTTTGGTCAAGGCAGACATAAGATATTTTATATTGGCCAATCTGGAAAACTCTCCAAACCAATATGACTTCTTGCTCATTGGAGGATAACTAATATCCCGTTGCAGCATATCTCATAACTTCCATTTCCTGCCCTTCACTTGCAGGTAATAGTCCAACCAGATGTCAAGGTGACGCTCAACATAGTGCAAGGTCTTGGTGCATTCCTGCAGCAGGTTACCAATCCTGCAAAGTACCAGTCACTGGAGAGGCAAGATGATCTGAAATGCGTGTATCCTTTCAAACTTGTTACCGTGGTGTAAAAGTCTTTCTCATATGAAGTTGTTCCCCAGTTGCTCTCCATGTGCAAGCGTCAGACAGGAAAATCAAATGCGAATTACCCTGTGGAATTCTGTGTTCCCCCATGGGGGGGGTGTTCTGTATTCCCCCATGGGGGAGGGGGATTCCGTGTTCCCCATGGGAGAAGGAATTCCGTGTTCGTCCATGGGGGTGGGGGGAATTCCGTGTTCTCTCATGGGGGAGGGGGAATTCCGTGTTCCCCCATGGGGAGGGGGAATTCCGTGTTCCCCATGGGAGGGGGAATTCCATTTTCCCCCATGGGGAGGGGGAATTCCGCGTTCCCCATGGGAGGAGGAATTCTGTGTTCCCCCATGGGGGAGGGGGAAATTCCGTGTTCCCCCATTGGGGAGGGGGGATTCCGTATTCCCCAATGGTATTTGAACTTGGTACCTACTTGGTTAGTTTCCTCCTGAAACATCCTCTAGGGATCTTGACTTGTGAATGCATAAAGTTTGCTCTCATTAGTGTAGGCACTCTCGGTGATAAAATGCAAAATAATACAGTTCCTGAAAGACTCCTTGAGTGCCAATGGCACCCTGTGCTCAGTCCTAGGTGGGCCCACCCAGTGGAAACGCTACAGATGCTGAAAGTATTTGAACATGTCATGTGCACCGTATGTATTTTGAGTACCCGACGACTCTTCCAGATAATTGTGCTTGATGTTATACTCCACAAGTTTAGAGCTATGTGACGCATTTTGAAACGTTTGGGTCCTGCTGTTGAATTGAGTGGTTGGTTAAGATGATTGAACTGAATTTAACAATTATGTCATAAGTTAACGATCAAACTAGAAAGAACCTACTCTTTAACACCATACTGCAATCAGTCGGTTGAATGGTGTGGTCCTTCAGCATCCAAGGTCTTACACCATGGACTCTAAGATGATTAGTCCACCAGCTCACCAGATCCCCTTTCTTGCCAAAGATCTGCTCGAGAAGCTCACCAGGTATAAGGAATGAATCAAACACCGCCTCGTGGACGGGTAAGTTGGTTGGCCATCCGGTCAGTTTCATTGGTTGGTAGGTGTACCAGTTGATCAGACTGCTTGCAGATTCCACGATTCTGCACAATTCCTACACTACCTACTCTTATCTATTATTTAATGTAAAATGTGCAATTTCTTTTGAAAGGCTTGATGTAACATTTTGATGTGAAAACGGCCAGAAATTCTCATCCAGTTTTGGTGACAGTGTCTTCTCTTTGCCTCTCCCCTCCACCAACGCACACACGTAACAGAAGCACTGTCTCCCTTGAGCTTCACCAACAACATGAAACTACGTTCATTATGCACTAAAGCAAATTTAAACATGGAGCAAGGCTAACGCCTTACAACTCAACTTTGTTATCTGGTGACTTTCATTTCCTTGAAATTTGCCACATTTTTGGTCATGACACACATGTATGGGGGACCTGGCCTTTGTTACTTCTCAGTTTAAAGGGAAATGTATGAAATATATTTTCCGAATGTGCATAAGCTTAATTTGTATTTAAAAAACAAAATGCAAAGTCTATCCCTTTGCAGCCTGCATGAAAAAAGATCATTCAAGAAAAAGTTGAAATTACATACCCAACCATATCTGAAATAAAAACATAAGGCTTAGGCCTTGCACTTGTTAAATGAATCGCTTGACGTGAAAAGATCTGGAACACCATTTCACAGCGATGCGAGGTTGAACCCTTGCATATCAAATCTGTAGAAGGTACTCTGGATTTCTAAAGATTTGGAAAAGTTTTCATTTGACGCCAAAGGAGTGTTCCTCAATAGGTTGTCCCCTTTGCAAAATGGTTTCCTGGATCTTTGACATATTCTACCTTGTCGTTTTTAAACTTGTGTAGAAATTTTAGCTTCTCGTGCCAAAAATGGAAACAAAGTTAACCCCTTGCAGTCAACGGCAAAATTGTCATTCAGGTTGAGAATTTGATAAAATATACAGTCGAACCTCGTTAAAAAGAGGTCCTTTGGACTTGGCAAATCACCTGTCAGGATCCTTGTATTATCAGGAATAAAAACAATGAAAAACAAAGGACTGGGACCTAAAAATTGCTGTTATAAGCAGAATCTTGTATTAACAGTGCTCTTATTAACAAGATTCAAACGTATAGCTAACCCCCTATTGCAAATCCTTGCTATGACTTGATGAGATGGAGAACTTCAAGAGATAGCAAGTCTAACCCCTTGCAATTTTATCCAAGAGCAAAAATCTGTCTGTACCAAACTGAATTCTCCAATATCAATTACAAGGCTATCCTGTAGTTAAATGAATGGGCTCTTACAAGGACAAGTTTCAGGAAAAAATGTAATCAAATTAAAGCAATCCTAAACCCTTTACCCTTGAAGATGCCAGATTAACAAAAGAGCATTTTTAACTTCAGAAGTTATTTTTAGCATACTTATTTTAAAACATTTTTTCCCTGTGTGAATATTGTCACATATCTATATTATAAAAACTGTATTACAGGGTTACCCCTTGCAAACAACTGGAGAAAAAAAATGAGAGAAAAACAAAATCTTGATTTGGCTGAAATAAGAGCTTTGTCTTTGACAGAGATGCCCAAAGTACTTCAATACCATCTCTAGAACATTTTCCGTAATTATGGGCCTACTGCCCTGCAGTGTTCCCTTTAAAACGTTAAATTTAGACCATCAAGGGCTACTTTGCAAACTATGACACCAAATTTTTGTGATAACAAAACAAACAGAAAGAAAAACTCAAATAGAACCCGGGAGTTCATTGAGCTGTCTTTAATATTATACAGCGTCCATTGGGGTTGCATAGTAACAAATGTAAATTACAAATAGCACAAAAGGCCCTGTCAATAGAGGGTTTTTAGTCATGTGATGTTTGACGGTCGGCATTCAATTTTAATACACAGATGTGCTGAGAAACGTGCACGCCTTCAAAGTCTCTCAACATTATGCTGTACATGAAATTGCCAACAGAAAAGTGAAGATTCGAAATTGCACTCACTTCCACGGACATGGTATGTTTCTTGAAATGCCATTGCCCGTCATGTTACATCACCTAAAAAACCTCTATAAAAGACTGAATCAGCAAAAATGATACAAACTATGTTTAGAAAACAGAGGGTGCAACCTTTTACACGTTCTAGCCATCTTGATTGGTATCCCAGAAAGGCTTTAGGTTTGCCAAAGCCCAAACACCATGTCTTGGATTTAAGATATTAGAGTTAACAGTGAACAAATTTGATCAAGGGCTCTTCGCAGACTTGAAGTTGGTGTGAACATCTTCAGTTCAAACTAGGATCGGATGTTATCACGGCTGGATATGGTGCTGGCTCTCTGCCACAGCTCTAGCAAATGGCAGTGCATCCAATCTTGGGAGGCTGATGTTGAGAAGTCAGACAAACCAGTCCGACCAACATAAGAAATAGCAGAGTTGAATTGCAAGTTTATATTACTTGATCATCCTTGTTCACTGTTTTAACAGTAATTTTTTTTCTGCTCTTATTTCCTTTTAGACTCTCCATACACTATCTTGACTCTCAGGAAAAAAAAGACCGCAAGCCCAGCTGATGTACGACTGATGTGTTTGAGTGGTCTCAAACCTGTCTCTTGTAACTGGCAGAGAAAACCACACAAGCTGCAGGCAGCATGACGTAGTAGACTCGTTTCATGTGCAGCGCGTGCAATGACTTTCTCTGTGCTCACTCGGGTGTTAAAACGCCACTGCCGGTTACTTGTGGAAGTGTCCCACAGTGCAGTGCAAAAACATGGCAGCTTTTTATAGTTGAACAATGGGAAGGGCATCTGATACTCTGGCAAACAGTTCAGAAAACTCATTGCATGTAAGGGCAAGTTGGCTCCAGTCAAGAAAGTTACATGTAAGAAAGGCCAAACAGTGTCTATAGATGTCCATTGCCTTTGAACGTTTGAATTCATCTTACAAATTTAATGTTTGCATGACTTTTTGACCCATTTGGGCACAATGAGTAACCCGAGATCTGTCCCATTATTACCACATATTGTACATGCTCACTTGAACCTATGACAATATCACGGATAAGCAAGTGGGAAGAAATCGAACACATCGGTACAGTGTCTGTGATCTACTTTCGACTTAATCATAGCATCATCCCATGAGAGGAACTCGGCCGAGTATTAGCTCTTTGCACGCTGCCGCCATAGGCATGCAGAGCCTCGAACTGGCAGCTTGTACAATCGCGTCAGAGTCGCTTTGTCCAGTCGCATGGTAAAAGAACTAACGCAGCACGTGCAAAATTACACAAGCAACATAAACGGGAATCACTGAACTGGATATATCGAGGCTCTGCATGTCTATAGCAGCAGCGTGCAAAGAGCGAATAGGCATGGTGGATATCACTAACTTGTGTTTTGCACGTTAACTGTTGTAAACTATACTCTTGAATAGAGCCAACAGTCCATCGGTGTTACATGCCAGTGTAGCAAACAGCTTTCACACCAACGGCTTCAAGGTGTACATTATTTTAAGTGAAGTTTGGAGCTGACACTTGCCTATGTGGTGGAAAGCAGATTTACTGAAAGACAGACTTACATGAAATAGTAGTACATGTTTCAAGTGTATGAATCCTTTGAAGTATTTTATCATAATTAACATGGTAACTGGTAGCCATTGGTACTAGTGTAATGTCTTCTGGCATTTACAAATTTGAAGTAAGCTTGTATGATTTCCTTAGACACACAGTCTGTCAGAACTAGGAGTGGACATTAGGTAATGGGACAATACAGAAATGTTAACTTTGGCTGTTGATTTTGCCATCTGTCCTAGTACTCGGAACACAGTGACCCTATGATATTGTGATCTGAGCCCTTCTGGTCTGTGACCCCAATCAAGCCAATGTAACTCGCCACTAGCAACCTTTCCATTCAACCTGAATAAGTCGGTAAAAGCTTGCTCGGATGCAATGACAGAGCTGTGATTTTTTTTCACATGCATCTTTGGAACCAAAGTTGCCTCATTTGGCTAGTCTACCTTTGAAGAAGTCTCAACAGTGACCAGGAATGATGATGGAATGAGTGATGAAATAATGCAAATTACCTGCCAAACAAATAGAAATAGTTTGAAATCAATTTCAGTGATATTTTGATGTCAAATTACACCGAGCAGGTGTGACATGGACACAAAAAGTCACACTTTTGGAGTGTGAATTTATAGAATGACCCTCAAGCCCAATCGTACCTAACCGTGAACTGCCCCCTCTTTTGGTGCCAATATGAAATTCAACTGTACCACTTGGTAACTCCCGCAAAAATTCCAAACAGTGCTCTTGAAATTCAATCATTAATGCTGAATACAGAAACCAATCTTGCTGAAATTGCATTCAAGCAGATGCATGCATTCAGGAAAACGTGGTGTCATGTGCCATCATGATACATAGTTTTTTCAAAAGGTAGCTGCCATGTCACAAAATACTGTAAACCATCTTCACACAGGATACTGTCACTTCAAACAAAATTTCCGATTCCTCCAAATGTCAACATGCTGAGGTGAATGCCGTCTCCCGGTGGTTTGCACCAATCCCACTTTTACACCTAATTCAACACATCTCACTACTCTGTTTTCGGGTTAACTGCAAATCTCCTAAGGTTCCTCAGGGCCATTGTGGTCATTTATGCATCCAGTCTCAACTTCCACAGTCACTTGGCCTATTTCTGATCATGCTTGGTACCAGTATGCTACACTCACAGGAACCGATTCTTTAGCAGATAAAGAGTGACTGTTATGAACACAGACGGACCAAGCTGTCTGTACAGTCAACCCTGGTTAATATGGGACCTTGCCAATATATTTGCGGCATCCAAATTTTGGAGCGCACCAGCTGTCCCATCGAAGCACTGAGCCGAGTTAATCTTAATCAGGAGTTAGTCTTTACCAAGTTTGAATTGACATGAGTCAATTGTATTTTCATGCACACTCTGAATACTTGAGCAACTGAAGTCAGGTATTAAAAAAAAAAAAAAAAAAGGAACGTTAAGGCTTAAATAAAAGATAACTGGAATTAGACCTGGGCATGAGTGGGACACAATTTTGCCTGTTAGTCAGTCGAAATGCCGTGTATTCTTTGCTTCGCCGTATGAACAGCTATTTCGTCTATGTACACATGTGTCTCTTCATAAATACGTACTTACATTAATTTTACATGCAAAGTGTACATACATAGGAAACTACACAATGGTCAGCCGTCAAGTATTGTATACACGGAACAAGAACTTCAAATGAGGCTAATAATTTCGGCAGTTTTCGACCAAAAATATATATCAAACATGCTCCCCCGCCATTCATAGAATACAAAGAATCATTCTGTCATTATTTTGTTTCAATTAGTACAAATATATAAGTGTACGTATTTGGTTTGTCATGTCGTATATGTACAAAATACAAGAATCTACAGGAGTAATGAAAAGGAAGGGAAAGAAAAAATCAGGTATCTTGAACATTCCCCAGCTCAATTTGAGACAAATTCAAATTAGGAGATAAACTTGTAGATATATTTCAAAGAAAATATGTTATTGTCAGGGTGGAAAAAAAATTTCAAAACAAAAAGCATTTCTTCAAAAAAAAAAGTGTACTTTTCACAAGATTATTCTCCTTCAACAATTTGTTTCCCCCTCAAAGCTTCCCTTCCTCAAAAATTCGTCAACTCTCGTATATATCAGCTCTGCGATTGACCTTTAAATTGCAACTTTTTTTTCCAGTTTCTTCATATTAACAATAAACAGAACAGCATTATTTATAAATGTGGATCAAATGTTCCTATCGCTGGAAACAATGTAAACCGTTGCCCGATTGGTCCAAACCTTTGGGAAGACTTGAGGCTCTCCAATCATCATAGCAGTTTCACAGAGCCGGCCGGTAGCGCACTGTTGCATATTCTGTAGTACCTCAGGTCGTTGATGAGTCTCGCCAGATTTTGGGTGAAGGATGGCAGATCCTGAGGATTAAAACGTTTTCATTTTAAAGTCCTCTGAAAGTAAGTCAGGGTGAAGAAATACATACTACAAAATATCACTCAGTTGTCTGTAGCACTAAATACTAAACAGCACTATACCAAGCACTCCATGCAAAGGCACCACAGTATCATATTTTGGTGAGGTTTAAAAAGAGGGTAGTTTTTATGCCGATATCTTCTACCCTTGTACCACTCAAAACAGTCCTGCCTACTTCTGTGCTATCTGAACGTGTAAGAGTTAAAGGTCATTTGAGGGGCGACAACCCAACATGACGTAAACGTGAAATTTAGACATCACACTTAAATTTTTTGGGAGGGGGAAATCAAGCTATCAGAAAGCGAGACAATATTTTCCAAAATTAAAACTCATTTATTTTAGTGTTTCACGCGGAAAATGTTAGCATGACACTGTCCTCTGATTTACTAGTGTCAGCAAGATTTGGCATTAATTTTTTCGCCCTGCCCAAGTGTATTTTTTACACTGTAGGCTCAGTGTATGCCCCCGAAAGCTTGTGAAAAAAACCACAAGTGTACTCAGGTGGGACTTGAACCCACAACCTCCTGCTTACTAGTGCAGACGTCTTAACCGCTCGACCACCGAGCTTGCCGGTGTCGGCTGGCTGGTTCGAATCAGATGTAGCAGCGGGTAGCGCAAACAACTATTTCAAGGATGGATTTGCGCCGGGGAGATGTAAATTAATTTTGGATTTTTGTTTGCTTTTTTGCCCTGCCCGACGTGTACCCAAGTACACTTGTGGTTTTTTTTACAAGCCTTCCGGGGAAACACTGAGCATACAGTGTTAAAATACACTTTGGGCAGGGCCCAAAAAATCCAAAATTAATTTACATCTCCCTGGCGTAAATCCATCCTTGAAATAAGATCTGGCATAAATATTTGTTGATATATTCTGGTCAAGCAACGTTTCTCGTCCCACCTGGTCTTTCTTGTAATTGCACTCGAGTGTCTGCCGCTGGTTCCCGTCCAGCCCGTCAAAGCTCTGCAGGAACTGCAGCAGGAACGTCCCAAAGAAATTGTGGAAGTCCACTGCCGCCATGTTGTAGACGGTGACCACAATCTCCTCCTGCAGCAGGTCATGTGACTTGTGCAGCATGACTTGCAGGAAGACATTGAGGAACGAGTACAACATCAGATCCCGAAAGATTTTCTTCAGGTTAGGGGGACAAAGAGAAAGAGAGACAGAGAGAGACGAACAGTTTAAAAACCAACATATAAAAATGTCAGGGATATCGACAGGCATCCACTGGCCAACGAACCTGGCTTACTGAAATTTTGCAGCATTCACAATGCCACTCTTATGCAATGATTTATTCCTGATTGTACATACAACAGAATTGGGAAAAAAAAAAAACCTGCTACCAGAGAATTCCAAAATCGTATCGTTAATTTGCCATAAACCACTTTGAGCACAAGGTACCAGCACCCTTCCGGTGTACAGTAGTAATGATGGAAGCATCGTGCCATGTGCTCTTGAAAATGATTGTCTAGTGGTGGTGGTTCCGAAAGAACCGGATCCAGTATGCCTGCGTGGGATTCAAACATTGCCTAGCCACGCGGGTACTGGGCCGACACGAGAAATTAATCTTTCAAAATCTGTTCAGATGATTTGGCTTACTTTATGGTACAGTTTATACTTGGCATTGAGCGTCTCTAGTGACTCCAGATTCTGCTTGAAGATGTCGATGTCTGGCTGCAGAAATGACTGGCCAAATGCCTGAAATAAACCAAACCCCCAAATCAGTGAATGATTGCTTGCCATCAGAACAGAACAGATGCTAGAATAAAAAATAAATACTAAATAAATACTAAATGAAAATGAAATGAAGAAGAATATACAAAAATAGACCCCGCTTTAAGAGTTATATGGCAAATGTGCACTTTCAGGGAAAACCTTTCGTCAATCAAGATTGATATTTCTCCAAATGTTGGCAGCCCGTAAGAAAGTAGGTAATATGAGAGGTGTCTGTGCCCCAAAATGTGCAACATCGTGATAACTGGCTCGTCAAACAAAGAAGGGGAATTTTCATCCAAAAGTCACTTCTGTCCTGGATCCTACCTACCTGCATGATTGCTACAAACTGCTGTTCATTCTCCACGGTCTCCGTACCCGACTGCAGCTTTGTCAAGACCGACACCGAGAAGAAGTAACGCCACTTGCTGTGTAGCAACTCAAACAGGAGCTTGTACAGTGCCGGCTTGATGTCCGGTGATGCTCTCTGAGAAAAATGGGAAACCAACAACTGCAGACTTTGGCTTTATCCAAGTTTAAAGGTACAACCACACAACTAAACGAGGGGGAAATCAACACCACACAACTGACAGGAAGTGAATCCTCAATGATGCATCTGCTCAGTGCACACCTGTTGAGGGCGCTAGACAATCCCACTGACGTTCCCCAAACACTATCGCAATAAACTTATCCAATGTGATGCCATTGATGCGGTTAGTATCACACTCATGTGTATTCAAACTTGGCATTCCTAGTGCATCAGGCAAGTCACAGCACCCCTACTGGTTCAGAACAAATGGAAACTTCAGGGGCTGATTTCATGAAACACTGAGACGTGTCTAGAGAAGGGTAACTTGGTTTATCTTACAACTCATCTTAGGATCAATTTCATTAAACTTGAGGATGCGTTCAACAAGTCTTCTTCACAAATTCTTCCTAACTTAAAATTGGTTTGAGGGTTTTCTTATCTCATTAATGCATCCAGTAATTGACGAAGTGAAAGACAAATATTGTCCTCGAGCAGTTTTGTGGGATGAAAACTAGCTGCAGAAACAGACTTGAAAAGTATTACCATTTACAATCAGGCAGTTTTTAAACAAAACGCAAAAAAAATAACAGTACAGGAAAACCTATTCGTCATTTTAAAATGGAATTACCAAAATGACTGAAAGCATACACGAGTTAACTGTTGCCACACGTTCGTATTTTGGCTTTCCCTATATTTTCAACAACTGTTTCCATGAAAGAGTACAACAAAACATGAAACAGCCACCAAATTTCTAGTTATGACCCATCTTTCTTAAAACGGGATTGGTGAAATCGATTTTGGAACCCTTCTTAGCAAAGATCAATCTTAGACTTGGGGACTCACCTTCAGCCCTAAAAACCGTTGCATAATAAAGATGAGATTCATGAAATCGGCCCCAGGTATCCCTTCTCCACAAGCGTGTCTACAAGGTATGACTTCTCATTCGGGTCGCCAAATTAAATTGGTGCAAGAAATTCAAGTGCCCACATAGAGCAATCATTTTGACATTTCCATCACTGGGGACCTCGACATACAGATCCAATGAGATCCCAGATGACCACTTTGTGCCACTTATTCTCCCAGCAGCACAAGAAAAACACGGGCATACCTGGGCAACAATCGGGTAGATGTGATCCATACAGATACCGATGATGGTGGGCAGGAAAGCCTTGAAGGCTGACCCTGGTTCCTGGACAATGATCTCCAGAATCTGAAGAAACCTGCAGAGGAGAGCACAATAACAGGAGCTGATAAGATGCTAGACATCAGGAATCATCTCAAAGCTTGTCCCGGACAAGTTGCGGACAAGTTGAGGGTGGAGTCGCTTAGTTCCGGAAGAATTTTCATTAGCAACTTGTCGACCGTGAACGACTGTTTTTGAGAATTTTGAGATGACTCCTACAGGTTTTCATGCAGCTCTGATCAATTTTTCCTGGCTCACTTTCAAATTGACTTATCCACCAGAACAGATTCTCTTGCTCATAAGCAGCGACAGACTACAGCTCATCGTTTGAATGCATGGGAGACAATTTGGAATGCAGTGCAAAGAATTCAAACAAGCCCAGACCGTTTGCAAACGCAAGTTGTTTAAGATCTACAGGGGAGAAACAGTACGGTACACTTACTTTTCTACGACACCTCTTCCTTTATTTCCCTCTTCAAGAATTGTTTCTGTTAATCTCTCTCTGCAATACAAACAAAAATAAACATGGAGATTTGAGACTTATTTCAAAAGTTACGAATTGACAGACGCAATCACTCTAATGAAATAATGCCGACGTTGCCAGCACTGATATAAAAATGCAACAGCAAATGAGCCGCAGAAAAAGTAGTTTTCCCTCCCCAGCATCTGGTAGTTTGGTGAGTGGGGAATCGGAGCCAACTGACGGAACTATTCCTGAACCAAACCCCCATATATTGGGTCCCCCGTACCTTGTGAATAAATCCAGGAAGATGGTGATGGTGTGCTGGATGGCCGGTATGCCCATCTGGACGCGAAGACTCTGGAATGTGGCCAGGTAGAACCCCATCATGTCATTGATGACGTCTGACAAGACAAAACAAACTATATTTGCCTCAGAAACAAGGTCCAACACCAGCAGGAGAATATTCAAAGTGGATTTGGTCGGAATGCTTTGCCAGTTTTGTACGCGTCCTTACTGGTGCTGACCGGATCATTTCATAACAATTTCCTCAATGATTCTCAAAATGATTCTCGAATTTAAAAGTTTGTTCGTCAGGACTAGCCTAGCTACTTTTCAGATCTCTGCGAGGTAAGTATGGCTAAAAGGATTATGGGCAGGTGTGCGGCCTGTCTTTTTGTGACGTGATCTAATCCTCGGAACAGTTTTTCAAGCTCATTTTTATACAAAGACCCCAAACCTGTAGTCTAAAGGTGAGAAAAGCAGTCTGTATGCTGTAAAATCTAAGTCTCTTACACACTACAGAATGCATGCTAGGGATTTCTGTCTATCCATGAGCAAAATGTAAGCATATCTCGTGTGAAGGTTAGGGGACCTGACCAAGCTGATCGGAGTCAGTGTATGGCCGTACCGATGGGACAGACCTTGTGTGTGCATATGTGACCTGTCACGACAAAATGAGAGTAAAGTCGCATCTCATCTCTTTCTTATTTTGAGGGTTTAAAGTTATATTGAAGTGGAGGTCAATTTTGGGGTTTTGTAATATTTGGAAAGAGTAACCCATCTCCCATTTAATTCCAAATGTTTTGTAGAATCACATATTCAAAAATGTCATTTTCTCAGCAATTTTGACAATAGCATTATGCATGCCTGGTGTGAAATGTTGAAACAATGTCGGGAACAAAGACGCAAAGCTGCCAGAATAATGTCACATTGTCACCTTACACATTTACCCTAAGTGTTCCATGTACATGCAATTGGACTGCTCTGCTGAATTCAACAATACCAATATCTGAGTATTTGAAAATTCTGACTTTCACCTCATTTTGTGGTGACAGGTCACATGTTGCTGCTCTTGAATGACCTCCAATGCCTTCATTTTGGTTGTGCATTGTTGGAATACCAAACTAGCTCACTGAATCCCTGCTGAAAGGGGAGTCTTCAATTTCTGTCACTAGAGGGCTGCACAACGCATGGACCGGACATGGCACAAGAGCAACTTTTACCCGATTGCTGGATGTAGATTGGGAACAGATAGAGGGCGACGTCGATGGAGTCCTGTAAGGAGTTGTGACAGATCTGCTTGGTCTTGGATACCTCCCCTGCAATGGACTCCACCTGGTCTGACAGCAACTGTAACGCTCTTCTGATCGTTGGCTTGGCTGTGAATAAAAAAGAATATATCACAGATATGTATTAGCCACAGTGCATTTAACGAATACAAAAATATAACCTGCGCTCAAGCAAGCACATTTTCCAGTGCAAAAACTATATTCTCACACCAGTTAAAAAACAAACTGGACATCACCTGAAGCCTGTGATAGCTAAAACCGATGATCTAAGTCTCAGAGTTTTTCCGGTAAGGGGAGGGGTTTCTTTCCTTTTTCTTCAAGTGCCACATTCAGTGAAATTTCAACACAATCAGAAAGCCTGTTATGATTGTCCAGAGCCTGTAACTAGTCAAGGTTATGACCTTACACTGAAGTACGAAAAAGTGAACTGTCTGGAGCTCAAGTATATTGATATGACAGGGTTGAAAAGTATTTCTGTTTAAGAAAGGGCAATTTTCAAATTAGACCCATAACGCTGACAGCGGCTGGACATAGAGAGCAAAATGATTTACTTCATTTGGGCTACACAAAAGAAAACGGGCCACTGTAACTGGGATGGGGGGGGTGGGTTGAGGTTGCTCATTCAGTACTGATGCATCAAGCAAAACACACAACACCGCACCTCTCTCCTGTAAACTCTTGTCCTTGGCAAGCTGGGAGACAGTCTTCAGCGAGCAGAACTCTTTGGTCAGCCGCTGGATGAACTCAGCGTGGTGCTCGGACCGCAGCACCCACTGCTGGTCCGACTCGGGAACGTTGGGCCAGGGCAGGATCAAGATGTTGGATAAGCCCCTACAAACTAATAGCTGAACCTTAAACGAAAATGATGCATGGAGCAAGTCATTTGTAAGTTACAATGGTAAAACAGGTGACACTAACCCATTCCAACTTTAATTCTCTGCACTTACAGTCTTGCCCTATCACATGATGTGGAGCAAACGTGGATGTGACCCAATCCCATTAAATGAGTCTTAAGGCAATTCTTCAGTTCTTCTGTTTTAAGTTTTAGCATCTGAAACAGCAAACTTTGTTTGACATATCCATTCAGTTTCAGGGTGGGAATTTACGTTTAATTTGAAAATGATTAGAAAACTGTCCCATACCGTTTAAACAATTAGCCAACACTTTACAGAGGCCGCCGCCTGCCTCGGTGTTTTCATGTATGCATAATTATATAGTTCAACAATGCACACGGTCCAACCAATGTAAAACTGTAGATTGATGTCTGGGCATTAAAACAAGCAATGTTTGTTTTAGAATCCACTTTTTTCTCAAAAAGTACATGGATGCCAAAAGGGAAAAAAACAGTATGTAACAGGCATTGTTTACAATAAAAATGAACGCCAGATTGAGTCAATCAAAACGTCAAACCTCTATTAACCACTTGCTGCCGGGTGTAATTTGAAGTTGCATGACGTAAAACCGGGTGATTTTCAATATTTTTTCCATTTTCAACATTCTTAAAAAAAAAATCATAACTTCATTTACTGGACGTTTACACCCACACGAATGACTGTATGGTGGCTACTCTAATCTGACAGACAACATCTATTGATGCCCGAGTATTTCAGCCAGGCCTGCTGCCTTGTAAAAAGAGTTCAGATTGTGCGGTGTTATGTAAGTTTCTTTTGTTCCCGAAACCAGCACAGTGCACTGCTGGCGTCTTTTCAATAGGGGCCAGATTAGAGAGCAGCGGTATTGTATCGCTCATCACTGGAGCGCTGCAGTGCTTTTGTCCCCGGTGGTAATCCGTTTGCGCTGAATGCCACAAACAGCGGTATAATCTTTCAAAACAATGATGGATTTCCTCCGCTATTGACAGCTGAAAAAATGTTGGCAATTCCCAGCAGCGGGTCTTTAGTTCAGAGTTACAAGGGCCAGCTCTTTTGTCCAATTTCGGGCTCCCTGGTTTCATGTATCAAGCCTATGTGCTCGAAACCGGGCGCCCCAGCAGCATATGGTTAAAAGGGATGGCTCTGTTTAAATGTTTGGGAAAATCTGTAATTGTGATTTGGAACTTTTTTCGTTTAAACGTGTGATCGTTCCGTCCTTAATTCAGTTGGGCTTACCCAATGAAAATTGGCATAATTTGGCAGAAAGAAAATGATAGTTCCTATTGCTTTCCATTGTGCTAGATTTGTTTAACAACCTGTCCACTAAGACGAGGCTCTGGTGGCTTGTGACTCATTCCATTAGACCGAGGGTCGGATTAAGCGTGATCAAAACCAGAGTGAGCGCTCTTCTTGCAAATAAGGATCAAGTTCTGACATGAAGTCTTGGCTGCCTTTGGAGCGATAAATATGGAACAAATTCACAGCTTGTTTACAAATGAATCCCATGACATTTCAATGATCATTCTTGATGGCCCCCTTTAATGGCAGAAAGCACTGCGTTGGGTTTTGTATGGACAGCAAAGCCGCGTTTGTTTCACACGGAACTAGATCACAGTCAGCGATCCATCGTTGGTTTACAGACAACAAAACCCACATGGTGGATGGTGGGAACCAGCGTTAGGATCACTGATTGAGATCCAGATCCGTGGGAAACAAACAGGCCCCCAAATGTCACAGAACAGTGGCTGCATACAATAGTTACTGCACTGCTTAACACCATTGGCATATGTAAATAACCACTGGCGGGGGCCACAGCAAATGACCAGTGACAGCACTACCCCGGTTACCAGAATTGTCCACATTCTACCCATCTTTAAACTGGGTAGCCTTTTGGGTGATGGTGGATAAATTTCATATCTCTTCACCTCATCCTGTAGCCCTGTTAAGGACCCACCGCTGACATCCTTGAATAACATCTGTACTGAGGAAAGCTCAATGAGAAATGTCGGTCTGACAGTTGTGGCTACAGACAGGAACAGGTGGGCAGCTGAGACGAGAATCTTCTCGGGAACCTGGGAGAAATCAGTGGAATCAATGAATATCACAAGTAACACAGCTGCACCTGGCCCATTATCCCACCAAGCCAAACCACACAAAAGACGGCGACACTAGCAGCATATTCTATGAAATCAAGGCAAAAGCAAAATCAACAAACCATGGAATACTGTCCAGGTCCACAGCTGCACTCAAGTATGAGCTCCGATTTCCACGTGTCAACGGTCACCCCGCTGACCTCCGACCCCCACTGCCTTACCTGTTTGGCTAGTAGCGGCGTGACGGCATTGATGATGTTGGTGACCAGCGGCACAAACTTATCGTGGTGTTGGCTGTTCCTCTGGACCTCGCCGTAGAACTGAGATATCCAGTGTGTGAACGCCTGCAGGGCAGCTAGGGCCTGGGCGTGGCTGGAAACAGGGCAGAGAATTACAACATCAGCATTTTTCTATTCCTCCTTGAGAGAAAGCAAATTTCATGAACTTGGTACTTCTCAAGTGAGGGCAGCAATGGGCTCCTTCCATTTCTAAAGTTTGGAACATTGTTTCCAAGTTCACCGACCATGTGACTGTAGAACCAGAGAAGTATACAAAATCATCTCTCTTGTGGAGAGCTCAAGAACGAAATCAAAAAAGACTGGCGCCAACAACTCACACATCAATGAAGTCTGCCTTGAGTACGGTAGGGATAGCTGTCTTAACTTTATACAACTTCATCTTAGTCCCGTAGACTGTCACCTGACAAAACCTGCAAGTGAGAGAAAATAATCAGTTTCATTCTTCACTAGTCAAACCATTTCTATATAGCACAGAATGTTGGAAGTAAATCAATTATCAATACTTTGTGCAAGTTTTCACATTTTCATCAAAGCGTTCTCACAGTCAAGGAAAAAAGCACGTAATCGAGATTCGCCCATATAACAACAAACAAAATGCTGTTGCATCAAGTTTTCCCTGACAAAGAGGAATTATGAAAACACAAACTCTTGCTTTGAACATACTTGTCAATTAATGAAAGTGCATCATCAAATCGCTCAGATAACCTCTCAGCGATGAAGTGATCAGCTAGTCTTCCCAGTGCCTGGAACAAGGAGCTGAGGTCTCGCAATGTACAGTGTAGTCTCCTACACTCATGCTCAGCTGTGATGTTTAACCTTTGACCTGTGTGAATAAATTAAGCACAGTTTACAGGCATGACTCCTTAACCCTAACCCCCCAAGGGTTGCTGGCCTTCCCCATTCACACAAAGTTAAACACCCATATGGGACTTTGTGCACAGAGGCTGTTGGACTTGGTTTTCCTAGGGTATGCCAAACCCAATGCAAAAGCCAGCTGTTATGGGCCTACCAGACCTATCCCCACAGAATGAAATACTTTACTACTGTTTAATTCTGTGTGGTTGGGGAAGGTTAGGGTTAATTGATGTCTACAATACATTTCAGTGATACAAATAGCATGTTATTCAGTAATGGGTACTTTCAGAAATTAGGGGTCCAAAAGTGTGAAATTTTCATGTCCCTGTTACATCTGACCTTTGTTAATCGACATGGAAATATCACCGGAATTGATTTCAAACTATTACTATTTGTTTGGCAGCTAACTTGCATTAATTCATCACTGTTGGAAATTAGAAAATGTGTTCTGAACTTACAAAATCACATGTCAGATGTAACTGGGACACACACAAAAATGGACCCCTAATTTCTGGAATGACCCTAATGAAACCAGAGGGAGAAGCTCTGTAGCACTGGGGCTAAAAGTGAATAGTACAGAAATTTTAAAAGGCTCACCAAAACGGTTGGCAAGCTTTCGGACCTTGCTCTTTCAGGGTAGCTCTCTGTGTTCTGTACATGCTAGAACAACCCCTGGAGGGACGTTGTGATCTGAAAACTTGGAACTATTTTGGTGAGCGCTGCTTTTTTAAATTTTCTGTACCGTTCACATAGAATTTATTCATTTTGATTCATTGCAGTGTAGCTCTTTTAAAAATACTACACTCAAGGCATTGTTGTAAAACAGTTTTCCAACATAAAAACTTCACATTACAAACTTCCAGTAAATCAAGAAAGAGCCGAGAATGATGCATTTCTCAAAGGAATGAAAACCTGCAAGGGATATCTCTAGAAGTACCCTTATAAATGTATATAGAGCAAGAAATCTCATCAACATTTCAATCAGTAGGCTCAAGTATAATGGTAAGAGATATCAACTAGAATTTCTAGAAAGATGCTGCAAACTGAAATCATAGATTACAAACTCTTTCAACCGAACAAATTTCTTTGGATTTATGGAGAAAAAAGCGAGCCTACCCTCTGGTGTCTCTGTGATGAACTGACCGAGTCCCAGGTAAATGTCCAAATATTCCTGAAACGGTGGATACTGGAGGGACAAAATTTGGATAGTTAAGCCAGCATTTTTTGTTTACTGGATTACAAACATAGCATGAAATTTTGCAGAAACGGAGTATGGTAGAAAATAAAACTCTACAGTTCCATTTTTCTCTGCAATTAACTTATCTTGGGTCAGAGGTGAAAAAAAATAGAATTCAGTCCGTATTTTTTTACACTAAAAGAACCGTCAGGTATAAAATGTCAAATGATAAATTTTGTTTTCTCCTAAATTGCATTATTTCAAGTGAGTAGGTTTATAACGCAACTAACCAAAACTGTTGGCCTTATATTTTTCTGTGGCTATTTCCCCATTGCATTGCTCACTTCATGCACTTCCACATGCACAACCACAGATACCAAACACAGACCCAGTTACAGGAAGTCACTTCCTGTGAACAACCTGTGGGTGCCATCTCAGTGTGTACAAACACCTCCGTCGTCGATTGAACTGCCACAGGACTCTCAGTGTGTACAAACACCTCCGTTGATTGAATTGCCACAGGACTGTATGCATTTGCATACTATCCCCCCCCGACATGTTTCAAAGCTCCTTAGCACACTTTGCTATGACCACACTGAATCCAACAAAACGCAGAATTCAAACACAACGTAGTTGCTAAGAGGACAAATACTCGATCCAACACCATCCCACAAGTACAATAAGGATTTTTTACTATACTGATTGACAGACCAATTATTCAACCAAAATTGTCTGTGTTTGGACATGGTTTTATTCAGCTGCCGTAGGATTCATTTAATACCAATTCCTTTGAACATTTCATGTCAAAAAGAGGGTTGAATTTGACACTAACCTAACTGAAGGCTACAATGTACTACTTAAGTGTAACATATAGCATACAATGCTGCGACTTGTAAGAGGACATGACCTTATTGTTCTCTGAAGCCATCAAATACAACAGGTAAGACAATGTACTATACAGTGCTGTGGCACTATGAATGCATGGCTTCGTTGTTCTCTGTACGAGTAACAGTGGAAGTGCCCTAGTCAGAAGTAATATGTAGGGCTAGGTCCTTCAGGCTCAAACCACTACGTGGCATATATACATAGCAGGGGGGTGGGTTAAGTCCCTCAATTTTGCAGAATTTAAATGTAGGATGATGATATGAATATCGTGTGCACAATTTTGAAAACAAACAAATTTGTTTCAAGAACAGTGTCTGTAAGTTACCCTTCATGCCCATTCAACCCCACTCCAGCAACTTACCAATACTCTGAAAGCCTCCGTGGGTAGGAGCTCTGCTACCTTCGCAATGATCTCTAGACACTGCCTCAAGAAATTCTGCCACTCTGTCTCTGACTGAGAAAAAAACGAAGAAACAAAACCACAATGAATGCTACCAGCTTCTAAAGAATGTGCTGTTGAACACAGCAAACTGGATTGATGACTAGGAAAAATTTTTTATCTCCATAGAAAATTTGTTATCATGTAAGTATTTACAAAATATCTTCCGAAACGGCTTGTGTAGCAAATTGTCCACACATGCTCAGTTCCCTGCATTACGTGGTCTGTTGCTCTGAAAAATCTCTCGCGCAAGCTGGGCACAGTTAACTCACATCATCATTGAGAATCTCGTCGTCTATTTCCTCCAGCTGTGATTGGTTGCAGCGGAACTGCAACTTGTGCAGAATCTCAGTGATTAGTGACACCAACGCGTCTTTGTATCTGTAAAAGAAACAAAACTACTTTAAATAGCAAAGCCCCCATGTTCAAATTAAGTGATTTCGTAAACAGCTATAAATAGCGACGAAATAAATGAGTAGGCCAAAAAAATAAAAAAATCAAGGCATCAAGGCATGACCTAAACTTCACGTTCAGCTTCAGCAATGCAGGTTGTAATACCAGTCGTCATAACTCTTTCTGTGAGGAAATTCCTTGTTGACCATACATCGGAAATCCATCTTGAATCATTCTTCGAGTGAATTTCACTGAACACGCTGAAGGGGCCGGTTTCATTCAACAACAAGGTCAAATGTTCAGCCTCCCACCTGTCTATGTGTACAAGGTTGTTTGAGTTGGCGCCTCTTGAGGTACTGGTCTTGTCCAACAGGTAGTCTATGAAGATGGCCCAGATGTCCAGACAGCTGAAGTAGCCTTCATGGGATGGCTAGGAGAAAATTGACATTTGGGAACAGGTGTAATTTGGAGGGATATCTTCTGACACTGCAGACTACAAATTGGGAAAATAGATTCTTGAACAGTTCCGTGGATGTGAGACGTCTCGAGCGCAAATCAAATAACAGACATCACCAATCACGTTTCTGCCTCATTGGGGCAAACACTGGTATTATAGGTGATTCCTAATGCAGAGCTCCACCATGATGTTGCCACAGAGAGGCCATTTGCTTGCGGTGCATTGTGGGAAATGGCTGACAAATTCCAGTCACTAATTGTTCTCAATGTATGTTCAGATAGAAGATTCTGATATGACTTTTTGAGTATCCATGTTAGTTACTCCAGACGGTGTTTTCTGTGAGGCCCAGAATGTCCCCGTCTATCAAACAAGTCCTCAAATTGTCTACAGCGGTAAGCTTGAACAGTGGGTTCCCTGGCAATCTTATGGTGGCGCACTGTACTGTGAATTGCCTGAATTAAAAGTGACTACATGTAGGTGCAGAGACCTAGTGGAACTCAAAAACATGTCAAGAATCTGATATGAGACTATGCTGAGAACTTCTCTGAGATGTAAAAAAAAAACAACTAGAATTGACTAGGATTAGAGATTCTACTGCTCTGAACACTACGCAAAACAACTACACAAATAATAAAATGAATGCAACTATTTCAAATCTGGAGGAGCAACTCAATTTCTTTTTTCTACCTGCTGGAATGTGTACTTGAAGAGTAGTGTGAGGAACTCCAGAACAGGAAAGTGAGTGTTGGATTCAAACCGTCTGAGATGAATGCTGACAAACAGCTGAAGGAACTCAGTAAACTTCTCCACGTATCTTCAAACAGAATCAAATCTTCAGGTTAACAAACAGTGACGGGATAAATAAATGTGTTTTCTCGCATCTATGTAAAAAAATTCCAGGAATAATTAAAGCCAGGAAGAAATGTAAGTACGTTTCTGAAAAAGCAACTGTTTCAACAGAGAGGAAAATACCACTACTCCAATCAGGGCAAATGCCCAATGCCGCCATAAAACTGTATAATATACAGAGTCTTATTTCACAAAAATGTAAAAAATAGGAGTGGAAAAATGTGTACATGTTAGCAAATATCCACACTTACTTCTTTTTTTATAGACTGTCATTGACTCTAGGTTTTTCAGCAAAGCACACAAATGTATTGATGCATTCAACAGACCCATGCATTTGGCAGCTTTATAAGATTATCAGGAATCAACACCAACTCACCTCTCGTCAAGTTCCGACATCTTATTGCCAACAGACTGTTCCGTGTTATCCTTCGTCACCCTCTGCAGCAGCTGGAAGGCTTGCTGGAACATCTTCAATAGGTACTCCTCAAAGTCTGTAGGCACGCAGTTCTTGGCCATGATCTCGTTGATGCAGCTCATGGCCAGCACGCCCAGCGACGAGCTGCCGCTGCTGCTGAAGCTGCTGCTGCCGCTGTTGTTGGGGTCCTTGTGGGCCAGCGGCGAGGCGCTGCCGCCCAAGCCCTGCACCGACTGGATGTCGCAGCCAAAGTTGGCAAAGTGGAAGATGGTGGTCAGGAGGTTGGGCGTGATGTTGCCCGAGAGCGGGATCCACGAGAAGAGGTGGCAGAGGCAGTCCAGGCAGAGCAGGCTGACCTGCTCGCTCTCCTGGTCCAGAGGGGGAAGGGGCAGCACATTCTGCTTGCTGACTGGCGTGGCCTTGAACATGCTACGGATAATGCTGCTACCTGAGATGTCAAAGTTGAGAAAACGCAAAGTTGAGCACAGTCTGAAATGTGGAATGTCCTGTCCTTAAAGTTATAGGAGAGTTCGAAGTACGCTTTCACAAGGAAATAAGCATTCTTGCACAAGTAACTACGCAGGTAGAGTAGCATTTCTGAAGAGGAACATTTGCTTTTGTTACATGTATCAAGTCAAGTGATTTCACTTTAAATGCTGTTACCTTTCTTTCGTGTTGTTTGAGCCAAAATACAACAACATGTTTCCATGTACACAGTAAAAGAAAAATATAGGGATAAAATAGCCTGTACATCCCAATTAGCAATGGCATTTTCCACCAACCTGATTGGAGTGGTGAGGAGCCATAAGCGATATGACTAGGGCTGCCATCGTTAGAGTCTCCATGGGTGGGAGACGGTGGTGGAGTAGCGGTGGTCACCAACTGCCGATGCTTGTCTAATATCGTCTCAAGAATATCTGCAAACAGGACCCACATATGAATCAGGTGGTCTAAATGTCTTCCACGCCCAAACAGATCATTTGAATTTTGTGGATTTGAATTTGACTGAACAGAGAAGTGGATGGCTCATTTGGTCCAGAATTCAGGAGATCAAATGCAAATGTCATATTGGACATTCTTCTTTTGTTCTGCTTGAACCAACTGGGATGGACTCCACTCAATAACAGTGATTCTCACATGGTGGTAAAGTGAAATTCTCCCTCGAGTGGCAAGCCTTGGGTGCATTTCTGTTGCACGGACGCATTCGTGGTGGGAACACAAGTGGATGGTACTGCTCAATTTTCGTTCAAAAACAAAATCAGTGGCAGGCACTGAACACTGTTTCAAAAACGGACCAAATATTTGGCCAACACAACCCAATTTGTGCCCACCAAAGTTCCCTCACTTAGCTCTTCTGAGCAATAAGTAAAGCATCCTCGATAGTTTAAGCACACATCACATGGAATCAGTTTGTAATTCAGACCTTTTCTGACCATCACAACACCCCACAAGACCCTCACAAAACCAACAAAAACTTCCACTCTGAGTTCCAAGTCACAGACTTTTCAAATGAACGGCACCAAAAGCGTTCCTTTGTCACTGTTCACCTCATTACTTGTGGCTGGTCTTGTGACTGGCCACGGACTCAACCACAACTCAACACGGAATACTGACGTGTTACAATACTGAGTATGGTGGGTATCTGGTCCAGCAGCAGTCTCTGCAGTTGCTCCTTCCTGGCCACGCTCAGGTCCTCCCGGGGTGAGGCAAGCTCCTCGGAGGTCGTCTGCAGCATCCTGAGGCCGAGGGTCACCATCTGGGGCTGATGGATCAGCTGGAAAGATCAACCAGAAATCAGCTTCACCTTTTGCACGTTGAACCTTAAAATTCCTTCACAAAAGTCTCTTCCCCTGGGCAGGATGCCGAGTCAAACCTAAAGCATTCTTGCTGTGAAACCCCGGCATATTTACTGTATATGTACTTAGATTTAAGAGAAGCATTCAGTTCAATGTGCAGCACTATAGAAAGGTCCTTGCTACCCTTAATCATTCCAACGCTTCCAAACCTTCTGAGGGATTTTAAAGGATTTTTGCGGAAGAAACGTATGTGTAATGATTTAGAAAGAATAGCACAGTTGATAAAATGGAGCTAACTTTCCACCATCACCTAGATTTACATGTAATTCTAGCAAAAATTTCAGTAGGATATCGGATCTTCAATGCTTTGTTTATCAATCTATTCTGGGTATCTCCAAATACAATCAAAGTTTATCACTTCCTATACTGCTCTCGTCACTGCTCCAAATCCACTGGCCACTCAATCCTACCTGAATAATATTTGAAAAAAAGTCCGGGTAGAAGTGGGGCCAGTCTAGTCTCCCGATGCACACAATGACCTTGATGAGTTTGTTGCAGATGAAGGGCGGCACCAGCTTGTGGTGAGACAGTAAGAACTTGGACAAGCTGGATCGTATCTCCATCTTGTCCTGTGCGTCCACCCCTAGCCACTGCCTGTTTATCAAGTTCTGAGGATGACAGTCAGGAGAGGAACGAGACAAAAGAAGAGTTCAACATCATCCCAAAAGGGTTTTTTTTTTTAACCCTAACTCCCTAGGGTGTGTGCAAAATCATATTAAAATTGGAGGATTCAGGGCTGTTAGGGTTAATATTTGAAAACCGCAAATGGATGTTTGGATGACTTCCTGGTACTATTTTATGGGAGATGTTGTGCCATTTCTCAATACAGTGGCAAGTAAAGGTCATTTTTTTTTATATGCATGAGTAGATGCAAAATCTAATTCTGTGCATCCATGCTGAAGCAGACAGGGATGTTTCCCTGGTCATCTGACATCCGTAAAATTAACGGGGAGTGGGGAATGAGCACTTGACACCATCTTCTACGGCAGCATAGTTCAGAGCAGACAGTACTGAACAATATGCAACACTCTTTACAGCAGAACAACACTGATAAACGGCTCTCATGAAAAAGGGCATTTGGGGGGGAAGGGGCAATTTTTAAATTGTTAGGGGAACGAGTGATACCCTTCCAATTACCCATGGATGCTAAGCCACTGTAACAAATTTCAAACAGGGGCATCCCCCCAAAAAAGGTTCACGGTGTTGTTTTCCATGCTATGCATTTTTAACTTTTAGATTTTTGTCATGTTTACACTTTGTGTTTATATGATTTTAGGTAATATTTCCTGAATGTCTACATTTTTTTCAATTTGAATGCTTCCATAGAGCCAGGATGACTTTCCCTGTGGACTCCATTGACATTTGAATGACTTCTATCGACCCTTGATCTTCCAAACAAATGTATGTAAGCGTGATCTTTTGAATTTGTTCCAGACAAAATCAGTGGGAGATTCACTGACCCTTTCTACGAGCAACAACCAATGCCTTTATTTTTAGTGTCTAGTTCCGTGAGGCTTTACTGACCTTTTCTGTGACTTTCAAATGGCCTTTCCAAAAGCCTGAACGGTATTCTTCTGAGTTGCCCACTGGGCAGAATGTACCCCCAGATATTTGCTAACATACCTCAAAGACGCTGAGCGCGTACATCATGACATACTCATTGTGGGTGTGAGCCAAGAAGTAGAAGCAGTGTCTCCAGGAGCCACTCTGTGCGCTGAAATTGTTCAACAACTCCTCTGCAGCCAACGAAAAACACGTCCACGATAAATGTCAACGCCCGAGGCATTTTTGCTAGAAACCCTTCCAAAATCTTCCAAACCTTCCACTGTACAGGAGGCCCACGCCAAACTAATTATCCATTAACCATGACCACCCCAAATCCCCCAAAATCCATTCTCCCTTTTGGCAGGATTCTGATGGGCTCGGGCCAGAAGGCCTAAGGCGACCTCAATGTTAACAGAGAAGGATGAGCTAGGTCCAGGAGGCCTGAAGCACTGCCAGAGCATTCAGTTTTGTCATGTCATTAACCCTAACACCCCAATGGTTGCTGGCCCTAACCTTCCCCATTCACACGAAGTTAAACACCCATATGGGAGTTTGTGCACAGAGGCTGTTTGGACTTT